TGTGTGTGTGTGTGTGTGTGTGTGTGAGAGAGAGAGAGAGAGAGAGAGAGAGAGAGAGAATTTAAAGGCTGGTTTAATCCAAGACCAAAGGGATAAGCAGTTCAAGTCTTTGTAAAGAAAAGACGGAAAACTTCCTTAAGTAACAAAGTAATATTTTACCTGCATCTAAATAATCCTTTAAATAAAGACTGGTAAGAGTTTGTGGGATGGAAAAAAAAAAGGGCCTTGAAAGTCCCAATACATAAACATTTATAATATTTGTGTTAGAAGGGTGACATACAAACCTTTATTAAAATTATTTTTTATAGAAGTTTGGCTTACCCTTTTTTTAATGGCTCAGTTAAAAAATGTTGTAAATCTTTAATTCCAGTTATTTGGTTATCATGTATTCAACTAATTTGTAGGGTACACAAAGCATCCAATAAATTGATCCAAAAAAATGAAAAACCCTGACCAACACCCCCCTCCACTCCGAAATGACTGGACAGAACTAAATAGTCTGGCAGGGGGAAACCAGTGGCCCACAAAATCAATTGTTAAACCCCTCTGTAGACATACATGATAAAAAGTTTATAAGGAACTTAAACCTTGTGCAGCTGGGCATAAAAGAATCCCTAATCAATTGAGCTTAGGAAGAAACTTTCCACAAGAGCAGATTGCTGAAAAATTATAGAATAAAAACCAAAACAGTAAAAGTCAAACAAATCTGTGCCTTTTTAGACTGACATCACAAAAAGCCATGTCTATGCTGAGGAAACTTTAACAGCAATCAATTCCTACTTGTTCTACCACCAGTTCAGTTGAACTAGTTTTCAAAACAGTGGGGACATGGCTGCTCAGCTAGTTTTTTACCACCGTTTCAGCTAAATATGATTAAAAGTAAATGTAATCAAAATGGTGTTAGAAGAGGGTCTAGCTGTGGGAGTCTCAACAACATTGGGGCTCCCACCAGAGCTAGCATTAGTTCAGCTGATCTCCTGGGAAGCTTGTAAATTCCCCCAGTGGTCCAAAGAGGTTAGTAGCAAAGTGTGTATGTGTGTGTATCTCTCTCTCTAATAAATTGGGATGACTGTTCAACGTAATTGTTATAGGATGTCGATCTCTGTTCTTGTGAACTTTGTAGTATTTAGCTATGGTTTAATAAGGTTTCCCGTCACTGTGGTATGTAAACACCTTCCGTGAGAAGTAAACACAAAAACATCCCTCTCTTTTAGCTACTGGCAGGAACATGCTTAAAGAATTAAATCCAATTTTCTAACATGAGAAACTATTTTGGAATCTAAGGGCTAGATGCTGCAGGCCTGACAAAGTAAAGGCTGCAGAATCAGGGCTTAAAATAGTTAATATCTCTTCATATGAGTATATTTTGCAAATATTCTTGATTATAAGTTAATAAAAGAAAACTGAAAAAAGAATTTTCAACAGAAATGAATAAGTTCAAAATGTAGGCTAATCGGTGCTTGCTTTAAACACTTTCCATTGTTTAAGATAGGAACATTTAGAATTCAACCTATTTTTTTAAAGTGTTTATGTATTGCTCAAAGTGCTCAGGGATTTTTCTGTAAAATTCTTCGTGAGTTGTGTAATGGGTAGATAAAATCAGCTTTGTCTTTATCTATGTGAGACACATGAAGGAAGAACACTGTTTAAATTGTTTAAGCTTTCCAGACGTGTAGGCCTCTGCAGCATTAGTGAGTCACGGTGCAGGTGCAGTTCACAGCTGGGACCAGTGACACAGGGCAAAGTGAATCACTTAGTTTCTTTTTCTTTTAGAACCTTCTATACCACAAAAACACAGATGTGGAGTTATTAGGGAGTGAAATTTAATTTCACTTTTGCTTTTCAAAACTAATCCAAGATTTAAAAAAATCTTGGTAGCAGCTTTTGAAAGATTTTGTGTGTGTATCTGCTAAAACCGCAGAGTCTATTATGTGTGAGATTTTGCCTACTGTAGAAAGTGCAAGCTTGCTGAATTTGATACAAAGGTCCTAAAGGGTTTAAACTTGAGGAAAAAGGAAAATAAAACAAAAATAAAAGGAATTTGGAACCAAATGTTAACCAGGTTCACTCACTCTAGTTGAATGCAAGGCTGTTTCATTTACTTTTGACAGGCATGGCAGATTTAATTGCAGAGTTCTACCGAAGACTTATAGCTTCTTATGTGAACCATTTTCAGCACTATTACCTTGTTAACATATATGGAAAGACATTTCCTAAGGGATTATCAGTCTGGCAAAATTATTAATCCTGCCTGTTTTAAATTATTTTTGAATCCTCTTTCGGGGCAGAAGTTAACATTTCATTTCCATTCCTATCTCTTGAGACCCTACCTTAGTGTCTTTTGATGAGAACAGGGCTAATTTATGTCTTGTAGAATTTGAGTCAAATAGCTGATTGTTTACATCAGATTACTCTGCCTGTAATACCAATTTTTGAGCTATTTCACCAAATCTCCAATATCAAGTACCCATGTCCGAGCCAGAGCAATGTCCCTTTATTTTTAATGTTTGGTCCTAAAGCTCTGATCTTGAAAGAGCTTTAAGCATGTGAATAGTCCTATTGCTGTCAGTGAAACTACTCTCATTCTTGAAGCTATGCATGTGTATGTGTTTGTCGGATCAGAGGCTAAGTTAGCTAGAGCATGTGCAGAAGATATCAGTGGACATGTGATGTAGTGAATCTGGTTTAGGCAACAGGCTTATTTTTTCAATAGCTAATTATTAAATATATGCTGACCGGTTCACTAGCATCTACTAGAAATACGTTCAAAATAATTCTGGACAGGATTAAGAAAGATGGAGAATTTACATTATCTATAATCCATTCTGCATACTTACAAGTATTAATTAGATTAGCAAGAAAGAATCCTCTTAAAGTGGCAATGGAGAAACTTCCTGAGACGTGTCCAGACACCTGCAGGAATCTGTCCGCCAAATGTCTGCTGCAGGGATGGAAAAGGATCTCTCCCTTTCTCTGTGGTTATGGTTTTTCATGCTGTCTCCCACAGTAATGTTAGAGTAGTTCAGCCTTACGGCAGTTGGTTTTTAATTCCTGAGTGCTGGAGAACTCAGAAAAACAAGGAGCCTTTCATAGGAAAATGAAGGGGAGAAGAAAAAGCAAGACATTAATGGATTATCTGGGTGCACTGAGAAGCTGAATGGTCATTAAGGAATCATTGCTTTAATTTCCTCCATGCACCAGATCTGATCGTTTTGAAACTTAACATGTGGTGTTGGTGATTGTCATTATTATTTCTTTGTTTTGGGGTAGTAAGCAATAGCCCTAATCATTATTAGGGCTCTGTTATGCTAGGGGCTGTACTGAAGATGTGGTCCTTGCTGAGCTGAGCATACAGTTGAAAGTTGCAGGGAAATAAAGATGCTAAAATATTGAGTTTGCTAAACAACTGGCATTTTGTTCGGAATGAGGAGCCAAGAGTCTAAAAAAGTAAATGTGAGTTTAGTTTTCAGGCTTGAAAGTCTTAGTTCAATAGTATTTTCAGCCCTGTTTTTTTTTTTTAAATCCTCCTTCCGAGGTCATTACAGTGCTTTCCTGAGAGAATGCTTTAAAGTAGTGGTTCCCAAACTTATTCTGCCACTTGTGCAGGGAAAGCCCCTGGCGGGCCGGGCCGGTTTGTTTACCTGCCGTGTCCACAGGTTCAGCCGATCGCAGCTCCCAGTGGCCGAACCTGCGGACGTGGCAGGTAAGCAAACCAGCCCGGCCCTCCAGGGGCTTTCCCTGCACAAGCAGCGGAACAAGTCTGGGACCACTCCTCTAAAGGAAGCATATTCTCTCCAACTGTTTATAGGCTCTTCGGGAAAACCTTAAAAACTATAGATTAATGATTGTGAAGTGCTTTGAGATTCTGATGAACAGCGCTTTATAAGAAATATGCATTATTATTATTTATTTATAGTTTCTAACGGTGCAACAATTGCAGATAGCAGCAACTGTGCCCTAAATGGTCATATTCTCACTAGAGCCGTTCAAAAAATGTTTGCCAAAATGAAATTTTAGTGAAATATGTTATTTTGTTGAAGCCATAAGGTTTTGTGGAGATGTATTTGTTTCCATGAAACTTTTGGTAGGAAGGTTTTTGAGTCTGGGTGAGCACAGAGTGCAAAGACTGACTCTGTAGCTCAGTGGGAGAGTCAGGTTCAAGCCCCTGCTCTGCCTGTTTTGGTGTGATATGGGATGAAAAATTCTGCTCTGATTTTGGAGCAGAGGAGGGAGTGGAGCCTGGTTCTTCCATGTCCCAGGTCAACACGCTAACCATGAGGCTAAACAGCCTCTCTCTCTTTTTTCAGAAATTATATATATATATATATATATATATTTTAAAGATTTTGTCCAAGGAGAAACAAAAACAAATTCTGAAATCTTGAAAGTTGCCACAAAATGGAATCGTCATCCTCTGGTCAACCCTAATTCCCATAGGCTCCTTTGTTCCCATTGTGAATGGTTAGGTGAATATGAATTCATCAGCCTATTTTGGTCATATTTCTGGTATTATTGGTGGCAAAATGGAAGGAGTGGAGGATAGGTTTGGGGCTATGTCCTGAAACCTAATAACTCTTTGTAGACGTAGCTGTTAAAATTATTTGTATCGGACAGAATGAAAAATACTCTGTAGTCAATGGCTAGAGCTTTTAATTTTGAGAAGTAGTAAACCATCTTTGCAATGTTGAAACAGGGCAGTGGGCAGGGCCAATTATGGCAATATGATGAAAGATTCAGCATGTATACAACGTGGGTCTGCAGATTCCCTGGGAAGTGGCTGCCTCCACACCACCACCTAACACCCCTGACAGTAGAAACACTTACCAGAGCATGAGTCTCAAGGGCCCAAACATGGGTGTGCTGCCCAGCGAGAGCCAAATTGACAAGACATTCCTATGGGTCCAGACATACTATTTTAGCCTCGGGAGGAAGTTTGTCTCTATAGCTAGGCAGAATCCTAGCTAGCTGCTGTTACAGACTCTGCTTTTTCACGCTATTCCTGACCTTAGCTTTACCTCCTGGCTCTGATATCCAGTTCTTGACTTGGCTTTGTCTCCTGCTTCTGACTTCCAGTTCCTGAACCTTGGCTTTTAGGTCCCATCACTGACTCCTGACTCTCGCCCCTGGTTCCCAACCCTGGATCAACCCACAACTCCACTTCCTAGTGTCTGACTGGCTCTAGCCACTAGGCCGCCTGTCCAAAACCCAACCCTGACATATGGTGTGTTAGGCATGCCTTGATATGAGCCCCGCGCCCCTCCCCTCCTGGCCCTGCATCCCACTTTGAGTGGTGGCGACAAGGGCCTCCTCTCCCAGACAGACCAGATGCAACAGGATGGGGTCCCCTTGTACTTATATTCTGTCTGCTGGTGTATCTATTTGGATGGGTGTGCTGAAATCATTGTACTCCTCTCTTCCTGCTACAAGTCCTCTGCTGGGGTGGTGTTGATGGAGCCCCCCAGTGCAGTGCCCCAAAGAGATGAATGGGGTTACTCACCCCTCTCCTGGCTATTCAGATCGAGATTCTAACATAAGCAAATGATTTCAGGAGCTAGAGCTTTAGGCACGGGGCTATAGTGTTTATGCCAAATGCATTGTCATACATTGTGCTGCTTTCACATCACTTTCTGAAATAACTTTATAACTTTGCAGTGAATATTTTCTTTGTTTATGGTGCAGGTAACGGTCACAACAATTGGTTATGGAGACAAAGTACCACAGACATGGATTGGGAAGACAATAGCCTCCTGTTTCTCAGTATTTGCTATATCTTTCTTTGCTCTTCCAGCGGTGAGTGGGAATTCAAAGTAGTTATTTAATCCTATGTGTAAATAATACAAATACTTGTTAATTGATGCCATTGTTAAGAATTTTTTTTTGTCTCAGAATATACCAAATAGTTTATTGCACCTTTTAACTTGTAATATTCATCATGAAAGGAAGGATGATCCAATTGTTGGGGGGGGTTAGCCTAGGACTTGGGAAACCCAGGTTCAGTTTCCTGCTCTGCCATAGACTTCCTGTGTGACCTTGCACAAGTCACTTTTCTGTGCCTCAGTTCCCACTCTGTAAAATGGGTGTAATAATCGCTACCTCATGGGATAAATTATCAGGCACTCAGATTAAGGTTGCCAACCCTCCAGGATTGTTTTGGAGTCTCCAGGAATTAAAGATTACTCTTTTAATGAAAGATTATGTCTTGTGCTGGAACCTCCAGGAATACATCCAACCAAAATTGTCAACTCTAGCTCAGATAATGTGGTGATGATGGCCATTTACATTCCTTAGATATTGGGAATGAAATATATAACAATACCTTGCTTTTCTATAGCCCTTTTCATCCATAGATCTCAAAGCCCTTTATAAAGGAGATAAGATTCATTATCCTCACGTTACGAATGGGGATACTAAGGTACAGTTAGGTGAATTGACTTGCCCAAGGCCACCTGGCAGGCCAGCGGCAAAACTGGGAATAGAGCCCAGATCTCCTTAACTTCATGTCTTTTATGATTTAAAAAACTGAGAGATTGAAAGAAGACAACCTCGGCAATCTGGGAATCTCAATCAGGTCTGCTGCAAAGCACCATTGCTAGGTTCTTTTTTTTTTTGGCTCCCCAAATTGAATATGAATGAATGTAAGGACAAACTAACTAAAAAAATTAAGCTATAAGACTTTTGCTGAAGTTTTGAAAATAAAATCCTTGGAATAACTTAGCGTTACACATAACATAGCAACAGGTAGAAGGAATGTCAGGCAACAAGGATGGTGTGCAGCTTTCAGTCTGAAACCTGAAGACACACGCTGTTCTTGTCTAGATGGAAACTCAACTCAGCCCAATTCCATTGTATTTACTAAAGGTTTGTTAATATTTTGAGCAAAACTGGGCTACAGCTTTGTCAAAACCAGGTGATACTTGACTGTTCTGCCTGAGTTTCATTGCAGGTTTGTTCAAAGCAGAACTCGGAGGGTATGAACCCACGTTACTAAAAACTAACGAAACCTCTGAGAAATTGAAATTGGATACAGCTATAGCTCTGTAATAATTTATTGCCCTAATATAGACCCATTATAAAAGAAATGTTGCACTCTATAAAATTGTATGTATGTTTCCTTGAGTTCTTCCACAGATGACAGGTGAAAAGAGTTGTTTATTTGTGGGGGAAGGAAATAGTAAGTGTAAAATACATCTGGAGTTCATTTGTTTTTCTCTCACTATCATGTGCCAATTGCTTTTAGAATGTAGTGAAAGTGGCTACAGCTACTGTATTGAATAATATTCCCCATAAATTCTAGCTGTGAATGTATGGTTGTTGTAAGTCTTTTTTGGGGACAGAATATTTCCTGATTTGTGTAAAAGAGTTAGTGAACTCATGTGAGGCCCAGAATACCTCGAATACACTGTATTTCATCACTGGATAAATAAATTTCATCCTCGTGGAAATGTTACGAGTTAAGATACTCCCTGACTGTAACTGAGCTTAGGTGAAATTCTCTCATTAATATTAAAGGAGGAGTTGCCAAGAAGAAAATGTTTTTTTTATTTCATGCTTTAAATTTTGGTTTAAAAAAGTTTCACCAGAGACTTACCTGTATTTGGTTTATTTTTAGGGGATTCTGGGTTCTGGTTTTGCCTTGAAGGTACAACAGAAACAACGTCAGAAGCATTTTAACAGGCAGATCCCAGCTGCAGCGTCTCTAATTCAGGTAATCGCTTGAATAATAAAAGAGAGTAGATGAAGGAGTATAGTTTAGTGGTCACAGGACTAGGAGTTATGACTTGTAGGGTCTAGTCCTTCTCTGCTGATTGGCTTTTAAACCCTAAATAATTTTGCCTCAGTTTACTGATCTGTGACATGAGGATAATTACCTATCCCACAGGCTTGTTGTGAAGTTTAATGTTTTAAAGGGCTTTGAGATTCTCAGGTGAAAGACACTTGTCAGGTGCAGACTCTTGTTGAACTAAAGAAGCAACTTTGTCATTTATTTTTAATTTTCATGTAATTATTATCTACCTTGTAGTATTCCCATTAGTACTGCGTATGTCTTAAATAATTGGGTGTGTATGTATGGATACATGCACCCAACTTTGGAAAATGCTCCAATATTACATTTTATATAATGTAAAGAGACTGTCAACTGAGAACAAAGTTACTAAAATGTGGCACAATGTATAAAAAAGTAAAGCTGGAGCATTTCTTAATGTTCTAAGAGTATTTCTTCTCATGGGGCAGATTTTCATCTGCATGTGTAGTGGATTAGGCCACTTCCACTGATAATACTAAGAACAGCATATTTAAAAACACCACATGCTGAAGTGAACATGACTCTTGGTGATGGTTACCTCTTAGAACAGTTACTCGTGGGAGCGACTGCATTTTATTTGACATGACAGCACATAGTGGTTCAATGAAAACCGTTTGCAGCACATAGTGGTTCAATGAAAACCATTTGCAGCACATTTGTATAAATCAAAGAATACACTGTAGGTTTATTTTTGGCAGGGTTATAGTTACCTTTCCTTCAGAACACAATGCCCATTTGTTCACAGAAAGAATTCTTTCGTTTTTACTTTACAGACTCTATGGCGGTGCTATGCAGCAGAGAAATCATACAGTTCTACAGCAACATGGAAGATCTATGTTACATCGCCTGCTCAAAATACAAAAAAAACACCAGCGCCATCTAGCCCTAGTCTGAGAAAACAGGTTAAAAGGAACTTACCATACTTATTTTCTTCTTGGTTTTAATTTAGTTAAGTAATATAAGTAAAAGAGGTATAGAGGTTGCAGGGGATTTGTAGAAACATTTGGGTTGGAAGAGACCTGTAATGGGATATGGAATCTATTTCCTTACATTGTGTCAAGATCAACTTAATTGTCCTTAAGGCAAACTTGATGGACAATATGTCTCTGTTTTGAATGTATCCATTGGTTTCTATGGGCATGATTCTCCATTACCTTGTCCCTTATGTAGACATTTATAACTGTTCAACTAAGCATACATTGCTATCTTATATGAGCTGATAGCATTTTATATCCATTTTACATTCAACTGAACAGTTATATATGACTGGAAAAGGGAAAGGCAGTGGAACAGTAGGGCCTGTGCTCTCAATTTGGCTAGTAATATATAAATTCATTGGTTTAAAGTGCTTATCTCTATAGAAGACTTTTGAAAAGCGAGTTAGGCAAATATCCCAGTTTGGCTGAAATAAAGCCGAATTTCAGTGCATGCCTCTGTTGTTTCCAAGTGTATTTTATTATTTTCATTACAGTAGCAGATAGACGCGCTGTGCAAATGCATAGTAAGAGACAGGCCATGCCCTGAGGCGCATACCATCTGAACAGACAATTCAGACAGAGGTGGGGAGGGATAGCACAAGGCATGGCATTGCTCTGTGTCTGTGTAATCTCATACAACAAGCTAGTGGCAGGGCTAAGAAAAATAACTCAGGTCCTTTGACTCCCAGGCCAGTCTCTTTCCTTCTGGATCACGCTGCCTCTATTTATTTTTCCAGTTTTATCTAGTGCACTATTATACCTGGATTTCCCTTGCCATAACTTAATCCCATAATTACAGATTCTGCCCTTGTTCATTAATGGGTGAAACTCACCCTTGTGAAGAGGGCCAGTGAAGATTTCTCTATACCACTTAAACCTACCCTGGCCCTTATGCTGAGGGTTCAAGTGGCTATTGGCTTTGTGCAGGGCCTTGGCAGGGGGTGAATTTGACCCTGATGAGAAGAGCTGGCTCTTCTCAGACACACACTGTCACTTCATGACAATCTTTAAAGCACATACACAAGCATGTACACATCCATACTAATTAGGTACACTGTTTCAGGAAGTGGTCAACTGACTGATTTGGGTTGTCAGCCACGATACAGTATGTGTGTTACTTATCACCAGATCTTTGCCCAGCCATCAGCTTTCAGCTCAGTTATTGGTCACAGCAAGAGCTGACACTGCATACAAAGGTGGAAAGGAGGACAGAAACAATGTAGTTTTTTCCCAGTTCCCTAGCAACCCAAATTGCTGGAAAATAGAAAGAGACAGTTAGAGGTGCCTATCCAATATAGGCACTTGATATCACCAGGCGGACTCCCAGATGTCCAGCCCATGACATCCGTCTTCTCCCTTCTCCTTTGGCTTTCGGGAAGCAATGTACTGAAGGAGACAGACTGTTTCATCCTATTTCTGCTGGGCAGTTCAATTTAGTGCCTCTTCTTAGAGATGCTGGCATGGACCAACCAAATAGTGACCCATACTTTTACCGAAGAATTGAAATGACCAACGTAAATTAGTTCAATCAGGGAACGAGACATTAGCTTTTGAGATCTTGCAATTGGGCCTGGAATTTTCCAGTCTGTTTTTGCAATACAGCTTGTCACACCAGCTTGTGTAAAGACAAGTTAGGCCATAGCTGTTGGTACAAACATTTTAAGACGTGCATTGAACTCCAGCTGTTTGCTCTGGTCAGCAACTTATCTCCATGAGTAGCTTTCCGGGAGCCTCTCTGTGTCACGTCTCTTGGCCAGTTTTGCAGTTATGCTTGCTCAAGTTGTAATTTCTCTATCAAATACTCTTCTAGCTGCTGAAACATCCAGTTTAGAGGTCACATAATTTATAAAAAGTCACTCCACAGTCTCTGATGTTGTTTAAACTCGTTTTAACAGTACATTATACAGTACAAAGTCACTTCAGTAACTGTTGTTCTCAAACTAGAACATCTGTGTACATTTTCCATTTCTGTTCTCCTTGTTTTAACAACAATGGCGGGGCCTCTGTACATATGACTGAGCTGAGTCTGTGCTTTATTAATCAGTTCTATTTCTGATTATTCCCCTCTGGTCAAGTGTTCTTATAAACACACTGTTTGGTTTCACTTCCTTTTATTTATGGCCTCTTTCAGCATAGGTGTATTTCACTAACTTGATGGAATAAGCATTGCAAACATTAGCCTTTCTACTTCGCTTTATCACTTAAACTAACATAAATCAATAGGAACACAACCCATTTCTTTCCTAACAGGATTGCCCACAAGGTGAAGCCTGTTATTAAAATTTACAATGTTTTGCCCAAAGCTTTATCTCTAATAATTGACTTCCCTTTTTTTACACATTTTGAATTATAATATTAGATTCCATTTTAGTACTGTGCCTGGCACATTATATAGTATCAAGGTTTGATATTAATTTATTTTTTAATTAATTTACTTATTCACAGACAGGGAAAATGGGGAAATCTCTAGCTGCACCAGTATGCTCTGGAGAGAAAATACAGCAATTCTGAATTTTCTCAGACTATTGAAGAAATCTAACCATTAGATCTTGCATTTTTCTACTCTTAGCCCTCTGTTCTATCTTTCTAAAAGGCCTTGATGCCTGTGCAACTGTTAAATAATCACAACACATAATTTTGGGGCCTTAGTTTTATACTCAAGTTTTGGGCATCCAATTTGAGAAAAATTAAAGAGACCTTCTTTTCAGAGAGTATTGACTGCCTGCTCACTAGAAGTTTGGTCTCTTTAAGGTGTTTTAAAGTTGGGCATCCAGAATGTGTCAGTTTTGAAAACCTTGGCCAAGGGCTTTGGCCATGGCTTTGAATTTGCTGTTGGCCATGGCTTTGAATTTCACCCTTACTTTTTAACTTAACTTAATGGTTGTAGTATCAAATTCAAATTTACTATACAATCAATCTCAAGTGTGTTGCTCTTATCTCTGTATGCTGTTAATATCTTTACTATTATCCCATTTCCATTGCTACAGTCTAGAAGATACAAAAGAAAAGGAAAACCTGGGCGTGATAATGGTGCGGCACCAATAATAAATCCTGGAGAGCCTGCCTTACCCATTCCACAAATTACTTACGATCACATTGATGAAAGAGAAGACAAAAAAGACATGGCTTTTTACCTTGATGAACCTGGAGGTAATTTACTTTTATTTATGTTTAGGGCTGCAAATCTTTTAAACAGACTGTTAAAAGAACTGAACTGGCAAAGGGATACATTCCTTGTGTATGCAATTTTAAAATAGTTAATGAAGTTATCTGAAAACAGGGACCATTAAATGACAAAGAAATGTGGGCACAACATAGTAAAATTTGAGATAAATTAACATATATTCTGACTATCAAAGACCCAAAGGAGTTGTCGTTTTGTTTAACAAACTGTACATAAAATCCAAAATGCCAGTTTAGTTCTGCCTTTTAAAATTTCTGGCACAGATCTCACTCCACAGTGAGAACTACATGCAAAGTTCATCCTTTGAGCCTCGCTTTCCTTAAGTATGTTATCAACACACACATGTACCCTGTCAACTTAATCAAGTTCCTACCAACTGGGAAGGGAGAAAGTGAGACTTGTTTTTCTTATCTTATATGCTAGCGTGACATGCAGATATGACCATGATGGGGTGGCATATACAGATTTTATACCTAGGTGGATATAATAGTTTGAATTGGAGACAGTATTTTTCTTCACTTCCTGCATTGAAGTACTGTGTTGAAAATAGTTGCTGCATTTCACCCTGGAGATGGCTGGATTTCAGTCTTAAGTGAAGAGATTCTTGTGTTTGTACAGTCCTTTGAAACTTTTAATGATGGACGTCACTACATAAATGTGCATATAAAATAGTATCAGTGTAAAAATTTCCGGGGCTCCTCTTAAAACTGATTTTTCTATCGGTAGACTACCTCCCTTTGTCTTATGGGAAAAACGTCCCTTTCTGTACAAATCCTGGGAACAGCAAAGCCTCTAACTGAGGAAGTAGACGTCACTGGAGGATGGTTTCTTCATGCTCCTATCTTGCCCTTTTGGAAGCCTGCAAATACCTGCCAGGCTAAATGAAGGATCCAAAAATAATCTGGTCAAGTACAGTAAATAAAATATTTGTTTCGGGTAACTTTGAAGAACCTTGTGCCTTCTGCCATTTGACATGGGATACAAGAAGTCTCCAATAAACTTGCCTAGCATCTCTCTACTAAATGGATTTTCTTATGTGGCATTTGGGCTGTCACAGGATTTGACAGCTTTTTTTCTCTGATTTTGTGGTGTGATGGTTTGCTTTTTAAATGTATTTGTTCTCAGAGTACATGCTGTGTGCCTGTTGCTGCTGAACACAGTGTAATAAGGTGGTGACTTTTTTTTTAATAGTTTTGACTTCATAGACCACAGGAATGAAAGTCAATTGGTATGCTAGGTTGTATAACCTGCTAGGCTGTTGAGTAGCAAAAATAAATCCGCTAAGAAAAGTGTAAGCACATGATATTCTGGTTTCTTTCTCTGAGGACCCTCTTGATGGGCTATTTATACAGTATACCTAGAGTGAGAGGCAGCTACTTAGAGTTTGCTGCAAATGAATATCGTTAAAATCTCTATCTTTGGTTACTTCTAAAAAATATACTAATTAAGCAATTACATTTAAAATTAGTTGCTATTCCTATCCATGGGGTGCATCCAAATGCAGAGTAAAACTAATGGATTGGTTAAAGGTTGCATTCATGTATATTTTGATTTTTCTTATTGTTTTGAATTGAATCCTAATGTAAAGCAACATTATTCATACATTGATTAACCTCTCTACTACATTCTTCTATTACGTTGTCACTTAGAGTATTATTTTTACAATTTAATCATGACACTCTCATTTGTTCTTAATGGCTATAAAACTTGCCTTGCATGTATTCTCACTCGAAGATTTTGCTTCATCTTAGATATATAGCTACTGCAGTAATAGTCAGACAGT